AGTTTATCGTCCCCGCCCGCCCCATTTTTCGAGGCCGCCCGGAATTTATTTTTATTTTTTAAATCTAGAATTTTGCCAAAAAGCTTGATTTTTTACGTCGGCTAAGGCTTGAAAACACAGCTTCGTCTTTCTGCCGAAAGTCCGTCTTCATCCTGTCGAGACCTCGACAGTTTTCCGTTCTTTCCGTAGTTGCGACTTTGTTGAGAAGCGACATGCCGTTTGTTTTGCTGCAAATCCGTCGCGGGTTGAAAGTTCTGAAGTCCTGGTATGGCTGTGTTGTCTCTGCGTCTTCAACTCTCTCGGACATTTTCACCCAGTTCAGCGCTGGCGAGTTGGACCATGGGGAGCGCCTTGAGGAGAGCGACGTTGTCTCTTGTGTCCAAGCTAGTGTTGGCGACACAAAGCAAGGTTCCAAAACCCCTGTGAGTCCAGATTCGCCAGTAGGCGAGACTGTCAGCGCTCTTGGGCAATACGTGGAATTCGTTATCGCTTGCCCTGAACAGGCAGCGACAGCGACAACACAGGAGAGAACTCCGCCTGGTGACGCTTTTGCTATGTTGATGGCTGCGTCGAAGACGCAGTGTGCTCTTCCGCCGAAATGGAACCCTGTCAACAAGAAAGCTGTGCTGAAAAATGATCTTCTGCTGTTCTTGGAGGAGAACAAGTTGGGCTGGGAAGAGGCGCTTGCTGGATCAGCTGGTGTGAACTTCGTAGGAACAATCAGTGATGCATTGTGGTATATCGATGGCAATCACCACACCTTGTCAAGTCGAGGTTGTGCAGTGCCTGCATTGTTGGAGAAGTTTGTTGGGTACAACACGCCGGAAGATCGCAAAAGGAGAAAGCGGGACCAGTCGAACCTGTGCCGCCAGAATTTGGATGCGTTGTCGTCATCCCTGTTCTTCTTGGCTGGCTGCTCCTACATGAAGCACCAGCACTGGAAAAGTGTCCGGGAAGCTGTGTTGAGACTTGCTGACAACTTCCGCAAGTATGCTGCGTACCTGAAAGCGCATCTGGATACAGTCTACACCAGTGAAGCCAAGCGTACCTGCGTGAGAACTGACGTGGATGAGCTGAAGGTGATTGGGGCGACTCTAGTCGTGAAGCCAACTCTGGGTGCGAGATATAGAAGTCTGCACGCCGCTATATCTGCTGCTGAGGATTATGAACACATCCTGATTGAGGACCATTGTCCTACTGAACATCGCCGGAGACACGAGTACCTGGAGGGGATAGTTGTGCCCGTCAAGTGCGTTCTGTATTCGTACACTGGCAGCAAGGCGCATGTGCATTTCATCTGGCGTATTCCAGAGTGTGCTGAGGAATCTGAGCTCCTGCAAAAGAATTCCGCCATCCAGCAACAGCTCAAATCCTGCATGCCAACATTCCACACTCGCATTATGCGAAGGGAATTCATCCATCTGTTTGGCTCTGTGACGAACACCAAGCCTGCATTTCTGCGGGAGGTGTACAGAAGGCTCACGGGAGATGCGAGTGCCAGTACAAACGCAGACCAAGCAGCAGTGGACAAACGAATTGCAGAAATGTTCGAAACAGAGGATGCAGACCTCATCTGGGATTTGCGCACTGTGAACAGCGGTAGGCCCGAGTCATATACTGCTTTTCTTGAGCAATGCCAGCAATACATTGAGAGCTCCGTGGAGACTGCAGTTGATGACCGACGGCATGACAATGTGGAAGAAGACAACACTGTCATTACTCACCTTGCCAAGGCCTTGAGCGTCAGGGATATGCACGAGGAGGTCAAAAAGTGTTGCCCTCCAGACACACCCATCCCGTCAGTGCAATGGCTCCGGTATCAGTTCTGGCCGAGAAATCCTGCATTGGCTACAGCTCGCCACTACACGGGCAAACTCAAAGTAAAATTCATGGTTCAATCACGTCAGTTCCGGACAGCTCACATTGACTGCCACTACGCCAGCGCTCTGTTTCGCTATGAACGGGAATTTGCTATGCAGTTTCGTGATCATGTGTGCTTTGTATGCCAAGATGACAAGCACACAATCAAAGTTGGAGAGCCTGGGCATCCTGTGGCAACAGTAGATCGAGGCAAGCCGGTTCTGGTTGGGCTGAATGAAAAACTGGTAGTTTCGGACCACGATTTCACGAAGTTCAATCTCACACCAAGCGTGAATCTCATTGTGGATGTGCCAGAATCCATTGATGACTCCTTCTATCGCGGAACAGTCCACGTGGGCTTGAAGGACTGTGTATTTCAACATTCCTCTCCATCGCGCCATGGTTGCGAGCTCCTGAGTATCCTGCAGAAAGGCGATGTAAAACCTATCCTCTGCATGTACACCGATGGCGGGCCCGACCATCGTCCAACCTACCTCTCCACGCAGTTGTCCCTCCTGTCGCTGTTCATCAAGCTCGACCTAGATTATGTCTGTGCTGTTCGAACACCCCCGTACAACACTTGGAAGAATCCGGTGGAGCGCATCATGTCAATCTTGAACATCGCTTTGCAGGGTGTCGGTGTAGTTCGGAATGAGACCACTTTCGAGAATCAACTGAAAGGCTGCAACAACATGAAGGACATCAGGAATGCTGCCGTGAAGACCCCTGGCCTGAAAGATGCAGTGCTGGATGCAATGGAAGATATGAAGATCTTGATTTGCTCGCTGTTCCAACGCCTTCGCCTGACGGGTGTACCATTCCAGTGCTTTCATGCTGCCACGGACGAGGAGGTTGAGGCTTTTCGTGACACCGTCAAACTCATCGACCCGTCACTGGATACCAAGAGTACCACCAAGCAGTCCATTTCAAAGAACAAGGTACTTCTGACATTCCTGGAAGAGCACTGCATTGCCCGGCATTACTCCTTCACCATCCTGAAGTGTGGCAAACCAGCATGCTCAGTGTGCAAGCCTCCGCGACTGCCAGAGGATGTCTTCTCGAAGCTGCATCACCTCCCAGACCCTGTACCTGATGGCGAGCGGTACAAGAGCTTTGATGCTGTATATGGCGAACCAACATCGGAGAAGCACAGGCCATCTCTGGTTGCAGCAAGCCAGTCAGCCTCTGGTGGTCATGGCATGCCATTCCCGCCCAGCGCCCAGTATGCCAAGAATGTCAAGGAGGTCATCAGGTGCTCCGAGTGTGGCAAGCCTCGTGTTCTGTATGCCAAGCAGAGCGTCAAGTCAGCAGCACGTGTGGAACTGGTCGCGGCCTTGGAGACCCTGAGCTTCTCCTGTGGCAGTCATCTCACGGATGTAGCTTGCGAAGTCACCAGTGCCCTGGCTTCCGTGCACGTCAAGGGAAATCTCACATGTGACAGTCCTATTGAGATCCCGTACTACTCTGCTGGGTATCCCACTGTATGCTGCTACTGCGCTTCAGGAGAGGGTCTAGTCAATAATGCCGATGCGTATCCTGTGTGTGGTGCTTGCCAGGAGTCTGGGAAGAGCGCCATGAAGAAGCGTACCCGCACGCATGTCCCTCAGGGGAAGAAGTGAATTGTATTCCAACATGTTCCCTTTATGACTGACTATTGGTTACTGTCCTGACTGGTTCTTTCCCTTCTGCAGCTTTCTATCATTTATCTGGTGGTCTGTGTGAACCAAACAGTATTGGGGTTTGTGTCTTATGAGTGGAGTGACAATCTGTCGATCCAAAGATTTTGCATGTAATTGTTTATGTACATATAACTGTTATAGCATTGTGTATTCCATACACTACCACTATTCTGTTGCAGATTGTTGCACATGATGTGTCATTGTTTACCAAGAACTATACTAGGTAGCACATCAAAAAATAAAAAATAAAAATAAAATCCGCCCTCCCTCCCCGATTTTTGTGAAAAAAAGGACGATAAACTGGGATTTTATTTTACTTGGCCTTAGTTACACTGACTTATACACATCCGTTGAACCACGACCACTCCCAAAGATAAAGGCACAGATACAGAGCACAGGCACAGATACAGAGCACAGATACAGATACACACACAGATACAGAGCACAGATACAGATACAGATACAGAGCACAGATACAGATACAGAGCACAGATACAGAGCACAGATACAGATACAGAGCACAGTGGGAGGTGAATACTAGTAGATCAGACCCACTCGAAAGTGGTCAACGGTTGGAACATCATGTCCGCTACATGCAAGACACATAGAAGATGCTGTTGAAGCAGTACCCGGTCCACGCTCACAATCCCTGCACATGCAGCACACCCTTGACATGAGACCTGCGCCACAGCACTACAGTGTAGAGGATCAAACTGAACTGCAGTCAAACACTGCTAACCTTTAGCTGTGTACTGAGTCAAGATGCCAATATTGAACGAAGCAAACACTGGAGAGTGATCACTGGTTGTGATGTCCGATGTGCAGCCTGCAGCATAAACACATGCCCACGTCCACAAATCCAGCCACACAAAATCCAATAGTGCACACATCACAGTTAGGTACATGCTGCAGTAGAGGTGCGCATCAAACTACACTTGCACCAAGCAATACAAAAGACAACTTGAAAGCAGGAAGGCTGATGCACAATATCACATAACGGTTTGCCTTTTGAACTGATGTGCTCGCCCCTTCAGAGCACACGTGTGCTCGCGTGCAAGAGAGAGAGAGAGAGAGAGAGAGAGAGAGAGAGAGAGAGAGAGAGAGAGAGAGAGAGAGAGAGAGAGAGAGAGAGAGAGAGAGAGAGAAAAATAATAGCGTGTCCTACCATAAGAAGTGTTCTGTAGATGTGTCCTTGGATAGCTCTTCCACAGTACGCGATCACACCATGACGGCACATTGATTCGGACCTACACGGTTTGAGGAGCAAGCAAACACAACACCTGTCTTACAAGATAATCACTTGATATGGAATCCCTTACAGTGTATTGCTATTCAACTCCTCACTCGACTAATGAATAGGGTGCATTGCTATTCAACTCCTCACTCGACTAATGAATAGGGTGCATTGTTATTCAACTCCTCACTCGACTAATGAATAGGGTGTATTGCTATTCAACTCCTCACTCGACTAATGAATAGGGTGCATTGTTAATTGAACTGTTCTTTCCAACACTCACTACACACTCCAAACATAATGTTACACCGGGAATTTTCGATGGTGTAACATTTTCAGTATTTCCCAAAATCAACGGTTCGGTAGCGTGAAAATTTCGGTAAACCAGCTTTCCAGATCCAAAAAATGCATATTGCACACTGTGTGGCATGGCATTGTTGAATATTAGGTCGCGTTTTATTTTAGGTAAAAATTACCTGTGCTGAAGTTACCGAAAATAAAATCTCCAATGAAAATTTTCCGGTTTTACAGTATAACAGTAGATAAACTGGAAGTGCAGCATATGCACACTGTGGGTGTGCAAATGTCTTATGCACATTCTGGCCAGGGGATAACAATCGTTTCCTTCTTGCAACGCTAATAACTGCTTTAATAGTTATTTCCTAACTCTTCCTGCAACATGCTGATTTGTAGTTCCAGCAGCAGCAGCAGCACACCACTTACGCTCATCTTCTTTTCTTTACGCCATGAGTAGATTTGGCGACTGCCTCTCTGATAGCGATAGGTCGGTGGGAAGTCGAGTGCTTCCTCCTCTACATTGCAGAGAGAGAGAGAGAGAGAGAGAGAGAGAGAGAGAGAGAGAGAGAGAGAGAGAGAGAGAGAGAGAGAGAGAGAGAGAGAGAGAGAGAGAGAGAGAGAGAGAGAGAGAGAGAGAGAGAGAGAGAGAGAGAGAGAGAGAGAGAGAGAGAGAGAGAGAGAGAGAGAGAGAGAGAGAGAGAGAGAGAGAGAGAGAGAGAGAGAGAGAGAGAGAGAGAGAGAGCAGGAAAAGCATTGCTTTTGCTTACATGGCAATCGTTATTCAGAACTTCTTTGTCTTAACTTGTGTTCAAAATAGACAGATTGCTGACCATCTACAGAGCCTTCTCACAACAAATGCATCTCCGTGTGGCATGATCCATATGAAGAATAGAAAATAGAAGACCACTAGCTTGTTTTCAGCAACTTGCCACAGGCAGCAGCAGCACGGCACACAGTGGAAGAGAAGATTAGCAGGCTGAACACATGCCCCTAACAATCGGCGCCGAGTTGCAAGAAATCTACTGCGGGCATAAGTTGTCTTACCGAACGAGCAGAACACATTGCCCTTCTCTTTCTCTCTCTTCAACTGATCCATCTCATGCAGCACAGACAGGTTATTCTCCTTGATGTGGTTTACGATTGCCTACATCCAGCAAGAATAACAACCACATCAAGAGCAAAAACATTCACTACATGTGCACGTACAGGCAAATCTTACACATGTCTTACTAATACTACTCACAGACAGACAGTCACAGTTCAACTTCAACATACCAGGGCTTATGGGAAAACATGTATCATGCACTAACACACATACGCATACAAATCCAAGTACAAGTATACAAATCTCGCATATAACACATGGCCGTACAAGAGCACAGACCACCACCATCAGCATCACCATGGTCGTGACACTACTTATGTCACTGTACTATGTAGATACTTACAGTGGCCCCTGCTTCATCTTCACACTGCAGTCGGTAGTTGAGATCACCAAGCCAGAAGACATGATGAAACTGACTGGTAAGATCAAACTGCTGCAGACTACGCTGACCTAACTGCAGGCCACGCAGAATGTCACGGTAGTTGTTGTTACGCCTGCACATCAACAACAATCATCACATGCGATGCGTAATCAGTGACCAAAGACAACAACAATCGTCACATGCAGTGCGTAATCAGTGATCACATACACACACAAGAGTAGCATGCATGTGCAACACAGAGTTACAATTTCTACATGCAAAGAATGTGAGAACACCACCAGTCAGGTCATGGAATTACCAACATAGTCTAACATAGTCTAACGGATGTGGCAAACAAATTTCACGGTTCGCGTGAGACTAGGCCAAAGGCCGAGTTTTCCGCATCCTTAGGAACGCCACCACCCTCTTGGATCAAGGCGCAGATGCAGCTCTTAGCGGTGGGAGGGGGGGGGGGTAACGACTAGGTAACGACTATAAGAAATACAATGCCCCAATGTACATGTAGTCACAAAAGCAACTCCACTTCTGTTCATGGCAAGGAAACAGATGTACAAGTAATCACAACCATTGTGTACTGCACAATCTCACTAAGCATGGAAAGAAACAGCAGTGATTGACTTTAAACGCCTCTGCTCCAACTCTCATACCTGGTACATTTCTCTGTTCCAGATGTCAAATGTGCGCAGATGAAACACATGGACGTGGTTCCAAAATGAAGTGACACTGCCACTGCACCTTTGTTACCTGCACAAGCAGCAACAGCCACAGCAGCAGCAGCAGGATATAGAACAATGTACACAGTGGCCCCAATTCCACATGCAGCCCACTACAGTACATTAGAGTTTAGAAGAGTACTGAATAGCAGCCAGCTACAATGTTTACACAGCCCACTACATAGATAAACCAGCATGTACAAGTGCAGAGGAATCGCATCAGGAAGTGCACATTGATGATGCAAACTTTCGTTAGGAAGAGCCAGCAACAGGACTCTATTGCACAAATCAGTGTACTAGTATATCTATAGGGTGTAATTCATAGCTCGATAAAAACAACACCCATTATTGAAAATTCAATAAAATGTATTGATACTTAATATGACCGACGACTAGTGTTCATCCTAAAGAGACTGGTTGGTAGCATCAAGACAATTCAAGAGTCCATAACCAAGAGAATGTAACCGTGATCTCTTTTGCATGAGCTGGTGGCACTGCGGAAAATCAAACACAACACTTTCACTGGGGTTTGAAACCATCTTTTGAACATAACTGAAGCTCATGCAGCCAAAAATCACTGCATCGGTACTCGAATGAATCAAGGGAAACAGGTGTGCTGGTACGAGAAATTGTGGGCTTCGAGTGCATGTGCACAGGCAAGTTATGTAGTGAATACAGAGCACGACACTGCGGAAAATCAAACACAACACTTTCACTGGGGTTTGAAACCATCTTTTGAACATAACTGAAGCTCATGCAGCCAAAAATCACTGCATCGGTACTCGAATGAATCAAGGGAAACAGGTGTGCTGGTACGAGAAATTGTGGGCTTCGAGTGCATGTGCACAGGCAAGTTATGTAGTGAATGCAGAGCACGACACACTGACCCATAAACAAGGTTGCATGCCACAGTGCTGTCGGTTACGGCTGTCGGCCGCAGCATCAGAAAGTGAGGTCACACTTACCAAGTGTGTTGGCAACACCAGTTCTGACCTGCGATGTTTGCACGTGTGAGATCTTGTTGTAATGCTCAGCCTTGACCATGATCACCAGGCGGATACCCCACAGTGAGGTTTGCTCAACCTGTATGCAACATGTAGCACGACACATACAAGAGTAGCGACAAGGGATAAAACATGTGAACATAATTATACTGCTACTGCATTCCCTTCAACAGGAACTGTGGCCTGTATTCTAATACTAGTAAATGGGGGCGCGATGCTGACATTAGTCGCACGCCACAGGGTACGTGATATAGGTGCAGAGCTGTAACCAAATAAGGAACAGGGATGAAGAACAGCAGATGTCTATATATTACAAAAAGGCAATTGAAAGAAACTGGGTTAGTCATCAGTGATAATAGGCTACAGACCTCATGGACTGTACAGGTGAAAATGACTAAGATTGAGATAACAGGGCGATACCACACACGCACACACGCTCACGCACACACACATACACACACACGCGTGCGCGCGTAATTGTGGCGCCTTGTGACGGAGCGGTATGCCAGCTGCTCACAAAGGCAAATGGTCGCGGGCTTGAACCCTGTACGATCAGGGTTATGACGCCGCCTACCCATGTAAAATGTAAAAAGGCACCTCCTGCTCGTTTGGTCACCGACAACAGGTAGGAGACATGCGACTCCCCAAAATGGACATCCTATGGGTGAGAGTCCTGTCCAGTGTGTGAATCCCAGGAACACACACACACACACACACACACACACACACACACACACACACACACACACACACACACACACACACACACACACACACACACACACACACACACACACACACACACACACACACACACACACACACACACACACACACACACACACACACACACACACACACACACACACACACACACACACACACACACACACACACACACACACACACACACACACACACACACACACACACACACACACACACACACACACACACACACACACACACACACACACACACACACACACACACACACACACACACACACACACACACACACACACACACACACACACACACACACACACACACACACACACACACACACACACACACACACACACACACACACACACACACACACACACACACACACACACACACACACACACACACACACACACACACACACACACACACACACACACACACACACACACACACACACACACACACACACACACACACACACACACACACACACACACACACACACACACACACACACACACACACACACACACACACACACACACACACACACACACACACACACACACACACACACACACACACACACACACACACACACACACACACACACACACACACACACACACACACACACACACACATCTTAGGATCTACAGTGAAACTCACCATTTTCATCTCGAGGCCTGTGCACTGGTAGAGGACGGATTTCCAATCTTTCTCTCCCATAGTACCACTCTCTTGTGTACCAATAACATACATGTCGTGTGCATAGTGGCTAACAGACTTGTCCAATGTCTTGCCAAGACCCTGGCTCTTGATCCAACTCGTTACATCGTTGGGACATGGAGTATCACCTGAACAGGATACATGTAAGCAGAAAAGGTTACATACATTACCATACATACTAGGGCTGCGACGAATGTTCGAATATTCAAACAAACTTCGAATGGGCCCACAATAAACGAATATTTCCACGTCCGAATGTTTCGAAAACTATTCGAAAATTACTCTAATTTGAGAAATTTTAGGTGCTCAAAATGTTCGGTATGAGAGCAAAAGGCCATGTTAGGTGAGAGAGTGGGGAGTAAAGAGAAGCGGGATTTATCTCGGCCAATGCAGGGATTTAAAACCTTACTACAGTGCACAATGCTTAGTAGTACTCACCCATGTTGAATGAGCCGATAAAGACACTGATGTTGCTGACGTCATGATCATGAGAATTACGCTTGAGTATGAGCTGCATGAGCTGGCAGAACACTTCGCGGCTCTGAGGAACAAACACAAAGAAAATGTGCACCGTAAGTATACACACACGCAACTGAAAACAGAATACAAAAAAGATTGCTTAACAATCATCAACTTGTATGATAGCACAGTTCACTGTTACAACATACAGTGCACCTGAACACAGGACATGGCCCATGCTTGTCTTGTCCATGCATACGCATGAGCACAATCATGTCTACATGCCCCCCCCCCCCCCCCCCCCCACACACACAAGACAACAACATAATATCAAGAGTACATGAAAACCAGAGTGTGCAGCTCGGATGGGTTGCTGTCACGGCGGAATTCCGTGATTACATCATTTTAGTGATGTAGTGCGTACAAGCAGGATTCAAGCAGGTCTCTTTCTGCACAACTGCAGCTCAGTTGTACGCACTACGCCATTTCCCGCCTCAGATCTGCACCAAATATGATGTAATCACGGAATTCCGCCGTGACAGACACCCATAGCAGAAAAGGCCCCAAGCTGCACACTCTGGTTTTCATGTACTCTTGATAATATGCACGCGCATGCACACACACGCACACATGCACGCCCAAGCACCCCGTATGCACGCACACACACATGCACGCCCCCGCACCCCGTACGCACACACGCGCACGCACACACACACACACACACACACACACACACACACACACACACACACACTGTATTGTACTGTATTGACAGCTACCCTAACGGGTCACGCCGCCCTCCACCCAAGCATGGGTATGATGAGGGGCAGTGGCAACAAAAACAAAAAACAGCAAGCAGCGAGAGATAGCAGGAGAAAGACAGCGATAGTAGTACATCTGGTGTGCGACGTATAGAAAAGAGAGATGACAAGAAAAAAGGAAACAATAATTATTTGAACCTGTATTATTGCAGTTCTGAAATAATCAACCAGGTGATGGAGTGTCGGCACCCGAAGTCCCACCTGGACTCCACTGGAAGAACATTCCACGCAGGGATATCAGCGATAGGCCAAGCGTTGAAAAACAGCCATGAGGACACATCGTCTAGAAGTCCACCGCGCTCGAACTGAAATTGCAGGATCAAACAATTTCCCACTCGTCGTCAGGCAGCGTAACTCTTCTCCCTGCATCACCATCCATCTCCAGCAACCGTCTCCACTCACAGCTCATGCCTCTGCCACCACTGTACTCCGAGCTTCGCAGTTTGAAACCATTCGGGGGTCAGCTACACCACCGCGAATGGAGAGACGAGGACGACAACGGTCGTGACAGAAAAAACACTGCCCTGGCGACCGCATCGCGGAACCCTCGCCCCAGCAAATTCAGAAACACGCCAGGGGCGACTCTGGTGGACCCAGAGCCACCCCGTGGCCTAAGACACACACACACACGCACACACACCTCAGACCTCAGACCTGCCCATCGCGGAAGCGATGATAGCGAACAGCTATGTTAGACATAGCAACACACACACACACACACACACACACACACACACACACACACTACAGTCCACACGGTCCTCGCACCTTATTGTCATTGAAGGCAAAATCTTTCCTCGCTTTGCCTTCAACACGAATACCCAGCTTCTGCTTGGCACTTCTTGATTTGATAATCTGAACGACTGCATTGTACATCAAAGGAAACCAAAGCATGGGTCTGATTATGAGAAGTTGTAATCAAAATGAGAGCGGTGTAAAATGACACCAACTCTAGTAGAAAAGCTAAAGGTAATTGAAATTGCCCCGGAAATATTTAATTTTAGGTCAACCTGGAAAAGGATACATAGCATTAAATACGTTGTCTATCATGACAGTTTCTTGATTCGCAGCACAATGCAGCCGCAAACATGTAATACTGGAACACAGATGAACAAATTTCTGCCGCCGGTGACTGAAAACTCATTCCTGTCCTTCGCCAATTTCCAGAAGTACAGGAACGCATATTACTTTTCTGACCACCCCGCTCTTGCTTTCGGACTTTAGTTCAAGCAGAGCTGCTGCGCTAAGTATAATTGCACCTAGGTACACACAGTGTGATTACCACGCAATACTTTTTGGGCTTTCTTACACACCTGTGGCCCAGTGCTGCTGATCTTGCTACTCCTGGCCTGCACAATAGCTGGTAATAGCTGATAGCACCCCTTCCTCCTGAAATCACTACCTCTCATTTTCACCAGCAGCCTTTATCGCCCAATACCACACTGGCTTGCTTTTAAAATGCAAATTCTGTATGAAAAATCTCATTTACGCTGGATCTAAGTATTGTGTCAATGCCCACACCCACAATAACTGTGTTTTGGTTTACATTTGATTGCCATCGCTTTACATTAAGTCCAGGGATGAATTTACTGTCAGGTTTTTCCACAGCAGTTTTTTGCTATGCAAAATCTCAATTGTGGCGTAAGCTACAAAAAGCATGGATAGCCTGTATGTGTTATTATGTATGTATCGCAGTTTTCTGCGTGTCACTGTGATTTTTGAGTAGCAGTAGATCGATTTTGCGTAGCAAACTGCGATGTGATACCGGAAAAATTCATCCCTGAAGTCCCAGCATGTTCTTGCTTCCATCCTATGGTGAGGCAAGGACACTTTTAGCACAAACCGATAAGGTATTTGTGGAACTAAATTCTTTCCTTGGGTGACTGTGCATTGTTATAGTTGTCAGATCATAATTATCTCCTGGATGGCATGGCACAAATAGACCACTGTGACTACACTGGCAGTGCACAAGAACATTCTGGTAACTTTATTAAGGCGATAAATAGTATAAGCGAAGCGGACATTACGAAATGATCAATGCGAATACATGTATGTTAAAATTGATGTTCCTAATCGATGCATAGCTTCTATTGTGAGACGATTTCCCCTGATGATGGTCTCAAGAAAATCGATTAGGAACATGAATTTTAACATACATGTATTCTCATTGATCATTTCATAATGTCCGCTTCGCTTATACTATATATCGCCTTAATAAAGTTATTGTCTCCTCGTCGCCTATTCTGGTAACCGTACAATCCAGCAAAACATTACCTACTTGTACTTACTCTGATTCCAGGAATAGACAGAAGCGTCTTTATCACTACGCGTTATTGTCAAAGTGCCAGCTTCAACATCGACAGTAAGAATAGTCTTCGATTTGAACTGATAATCTGTTCTTGTCTGTAAAGAAACATGATGTATGCATACAAGAATATACACGTACACATACACGTACATGTACGCACACACAAAAAGAGCAGCCTTCCAATTTTATTACACATGCTAATGGAAACATACCAAAACATGTCACAGAGAGAGAGAAAGAGAGAGAGAGAGAGAGAGAGAGAGAGAGAGAGAGAGAGAGAGAGAGAGAGAGAGAGAGAGAGAGAGAGAGAGAGAGAGAGAGAGAGTGAGAGAGAGTGAGAGAGAGAGAGAGAGAGAGAGAGAGAGAGAGAGAGAGAGAGAGAGAGAGAGAGAGAGAGAGAGAGAGAGAGAGAGAGAGAGAGAGAGAGAGAGAGAGAGAGAGAGAGAGAGAGAGAGAGAGAGAGAGAGAGAGAGAGAGAGACTAAGAAAACATACAAGCATGTAATTGCCCAGAACAGTGAAGGTTCCAACACACAATAAAGAGTTGTTGGACCATATGTTCTAGCCTGAACAAATACATTTTCCAGGGTTGAACACCAATCAATTTCCTTGGACACATTTCCACAAAGGGTTCCATACGACTGGTAATGAGCGTGGATGATGTAACAGTGACATTTCTAGTGTGCTACAGAAAATAGAAATAGCAACTAAACAGCAATACAAAAAAAAAGAAAAGAAAAACTAACCTCAAATGACTGCACAGCCTGCTCTACTGTAGATCCTTTGACTGAAGTTATGGATGAGGTAGACTGGGACTTTTGTGGACCAGCAGGTGTATTGTATTGCTGCGCTACCGTTGTCATGAGATGAGTAGCCTGAAACAATAAAAGCACACACGCGCACACACGTACACGGATAGAAAGACGGGACAAGCCACTATCATGCTACAGTACACCACACTTGATAATGCCTTCCAAGCAGGGAAAAAAGGAAAGTACCTGCAAGAATATTCTGTCATGCATTTCTTGGAAAGTTGGTTTCTGTAACTGACGAGAATCCTACATGTACATCGACCTGCTTGGCAACTATGAAGTTACTAGCACTTTCTAATTTCCTAAGGGGCCATCCGTAAATACCGATATTTATTTAGAAACGAAAACTAGTCGTTTCTCTTCAACCCCCCTCCCTCAGAAACGAACACATACAAATGATGCATAGGATCGATATTTTTTCTTTTCTTTTCTGGACGTGCCCACACATACAAATTGTGCATCGATATTTTTTCGAGAAACGAACAGGCGCTCAACCCCCTACCCCCTAAACGACTAGTTTTCGTTTCTAAATAAATATCTATATTTACGGATGGCCCCTAACACTACATAATATTTTTTAATATCATAAATCTGCTCCAGCAGCTTCACATGCCAAGGGCAACACCAATACCTTGATACGTGCAATTATTCAAAACAGGTGTTAGATGGTGCCGCCAATAGATACAAACTCTTACACAAGCCACAACAGAGCATCCATACATTGCACCATGGCCATACAGACACTCTGATACAATGCCATTGAGTACCACCTACAGTATCCCGTAAAGAAACAGGTCTCACATTTGTGTGCATTCTAACACTGCTGAAAAGATCAGCTAGTAACTCAGACATGCTGACACCACCAGCTGTCAAACAACGTTGAATAGACTGTGCAGACCAGTTGAAGCTTCAAACAAATAGCAAATGAATCGGTGTCACAACCAAATCGAATGAAAGAAGTGACACAATGGATATATATTAGTAAATTACAGTACCTTAGCGTCGATTGATGACAGAAGTTCCTGACATGCCGAAAGTCGTTTCATAACATCTGACAATTCCAGTGCTGATTTCTGTAACATAGACAACAAAGGAACTCTTTGCCCAAAATAAGAGACACACAACAGGCTGGAGTGCTCTCAAGAGTTGCTATGTTAACTTGGTAAGTCTACCGCGAGCATAGTTTCTTACCGGTGCCTCAAGCAGCTCCCTGTCAAACTGTGATGAACCGGAAGTACCATTGCAAAGATCAAAGAAGTCAGCAAGGAGCATCAGCTGTCGACTGTACTTTGAACTTGCCTGTAGTCCACAAAGTACACAATAAGTAGAAATGTCAACAAACACGTAGACTTGCCGCAGTCAAACAAGGCGACTTACAAATCAAATTACCTTACATACCGAAACAGAGAACCTTTACATCATTCACACACACACACGGAATACAGAACCGTCACACGGACGGAAAATATGCATACAATTCTTGCTAATACATCTGGAATGAACTTGTAGCGACTAAACAAAGATTCACACGCAATAGAACTTACGAAAATGCTTCACGCCTGACTCCATCATAAGCTTGTGCAGCAAGTATGGCTTATCAGCACGAGACATTACAAACTCTAAGTCATTCAGTGCCCCATCAGTGACGTACGACATAACCTTTCCAACAAATGCTTCATCGACTCTGGAACAACAAAGTAAGATGCATACCAACAGTCAACAAACTGCACAAAAGACAAAATGAGAAGGAGCAAGTAGGTTATCTACCTACACAAGCACAACAGAAAAGTAGCAATAAAGAGTACATCATATTGACATGGAATCTGTGGCCACTTGAAAGGTGGGCTTGAATGTAGACTACAATAGTACTTCGTTCCACCTGTTTTCAACCACGCCTCACTGCCAGTAGACTACTAGCCACTCACCCATTGGTTTTGACACTCTTGAAGTTGTGTTCCAGGAATTTAGAGATGTTGCGGGCAGATTTGGTGGGTACAAAGCTAGGAATATCAGCATAATCGCTATCCGGTTCCCCCACAGGCTGAAAACTACCAGCAGAGGTAGCAGAGCTAGCAGAGCTGGCTGAGTGAGCGGAGGTAACTGAGTGAGAGGATTGAGATGCATGGGAATTCCCGCTTTATTACGGGCCCAGCAGAATCTTCAGTGTCTACACAGGTACACGGGAAAATAAGCAATAGAATAGACACAATTGAATTAACACAGCTACAGGGTAGAAAGAGAAGCCAACATAACAATTGGCACCTCCCTACTATATTCCATGTGAAATTCTGCAACTGCATTGAGCGCTCGGGGGAGAAAAAAACGGCTTACTTCGTTATCGACAGAACGAGAGAGAGAGAGAGAGAGAGAGAGAGAGAGAGAGAGAGAGAGAGAGAGAGAGAGAGGAGAGAGAGAGAGAGAGAGAGAGAGAGAGAGAGAGAGAGAGAGAGAGAGAGAGAGAGAGAGAGAGAGAGAGAGAGAGAGAGAGAGAGAGAGAGAGAGAGAGAGAGAGAGAGAGAGAGAGAGAGAGAGAGAGAGAGAGAGAAAGAGAGAGAGAGAGAGAGAAAGAGAGAGAGAGAGAGAGAGAGAGAGAGAGAGAGAGAGAGAGAGAGAGAGAGAGAGAGAGAGAGAGAGAGAGAGAGAGAGAGAGAGAGAGAGAGAGAGAGAGAGAGAGGAGAGAGAAGAGAGAGGAGAGAAGGGGGGGGGGGAGACAGAGAGTTGTAAACACAAAGTAAAGGAGTCGGAAATCGACTGACCGCTGTCATCAGATGACTCATTGTCCACTTCTTTCTGAATAGGATACTGCAAGTGATGTACAAGGCCAGCACCGGGTGTGCCATAGTAGGAAACTAGCTCTTGCAAAGTATCACAGTACACTTGACTGACACCTGCCACAGTCTGAAATACCAAAACCATACAAACAAAGTACAAAGGCTCATGCACAGAGGAACCCTGAAGCATTCATGCAAGCAATCATCCATTGCTTGTATTAGGTGAGGTGAGTAATGATTTACTCACAACTTATGACAAAACCGAAAATCCCATTCATAGCATACATAGGCAGCTAGTGAAGGGTTAATGCACTTTACATATGCAGCAACACTTCACAAAGCTTGCTTTCGATTTTAATACTATTTGAAAGACGCAGGAATGTCAAGATTATGCTTATTTCATATTCTTTGCAGCAACACTTCAGTTCTATGGACTCAGGCTTCACAAAAGAGGTCTTCCCTGTTTAGGGCCTGGTAACACTGCGGCACATTTTCGGTGCCTGGCAAATAAAATCTTTCAGGCTTAAAATCACGATAACACTACACTTGGGGAGATTGAACTTGAAAATTAAATTTGAGTGTCAAGTGGTATTTCAACCACTGATTCCTTCCAATTCTTTCACCTTCAGTACAATCCTTCCAATCATTCTTTTGAGTTTTGTTGTTGTACGTGGCCAGTGGCCATTCAGCAATTCAATATCGAGATGAGTGGGTGGGTTTTAGAAGTTTTGTTTGCAAATAATTATTTAATGGAGATGGAGAATGAGAGGTATGCATCTAAGGCCATGTTCGATTGGTAGGATCGGGATCCCGATCCACCGGATCCACTGGATCCTCACCCTTTCGATTGGTCGAATCCGGATCCGGATCCTTCGGATTTGGATCCGGTCAATCCACCTCGGGGAGCAGGGTTGACCGGATCCAAATGTGACCTTTGTGTGTATATGGCGAGTAAAAATCGTTTTCATACACATTGTGGTACGCACACGTGGATCGAGATAGAGCTTGTTGACTTTTTGTACAACTGGCGCGGTGAGTACGACTTTTTATTACTTCGTCAACATGGCAACAGTCAAGGCCCAAAAAAGTGTCCAGTTGACTTGACGAAGGATCTGACGGATCTGAGATCTGGATCCCGATCCTTACCAATCGAACATGCCCTAAGATGGCCGTCACCTTTTTGCGGGGCAAGGTACCCCATACTGTATAGCAGGAGATTTTCGGACGGAATTTATTTTCGTACAATTTCGTACACGGCCTCTTTCGTACTAAAATTAATTCCGTACTAAAATTTGTTCCTGTGAAGTTATGTACACTATATACATGCGTACCGCACGCAAACACGTGCATCTAGCATACACCGCTGTACGATAATAAAATCCGTACGAAAGGTCGAAATTCGGCTTGGTCCGAAAATATTTCCGTCCAAAAAATTTCCTGCTATACAGTACTTGGCAGGTACAACCCGTTATAGTACATTTATGAGTATGACCTCACAAAGTTCATGACCTTTTATGCAGAGTTGGTATCAAGGTGTGTACGGCCGGTTGTAGTGGACTTGCCCCACAAAACCGAACGGCGGGAAATTGATGCACACGTCCCATTGCCAGCATGGGGCCGGCCGGGGGTCGAATATTAAAATCACTATTATGTTGAAATTCAATTTACCCGCAGAAAAGGTTGGTGGATGGGCGCTGAAAAATACAAAAGCTTTACGTTTTGCGGAACACAAACAATCGATAGCCCCTGTTAACCCTTTACCAGCAGCCCCATACTTGAATGCGTCGTAAACGACGCATTCGACATGCATACGAAAACCATGCCTGGTATGACAGGAAGCATCAGCCCACGGGGATTTCCCGTGGCCCTCACACAGCCTAGGTATGATCCTATCCGTAGCTGAATAGATAAGATCTACACGTGTCCCATTCAATTTCATTGAGAACTGCGCGATCGAAAACTTACGGAAATACACGCGCGCCGACAATGCCGTCTGCCTCCGTCAAAACGTCGTCAGGTGCATTTCCTCTTGCGCAGCGAGTTCCTTTCGTCCTCAGATGACTTCTCCGATGAGGACCTAGCAGACCTTCGCTCTGGGACCCACGACAGATAGATAAATACTTCGTTCCAGCCGCCGATGCAAGCGAACTTCAAATTGCGGAGCGGAGCGCATGCCAAGCAAATTCTCACGCAAATATCGGGAGCTCCAGCCGCTGAAGACAATGTCGTCGTGATGTAACTGGAAGAATCTGATGGTGCTTATGGTGTGGAAGCCATGGAGAGTGATCCCAGTGTCGACAGTCTCCCAGAGACGGAATTTTAGGCCATCGACTTTCTACGTACCTGAGTGACGGCAGCGCGTCGCGACTTGCGCACGACATTACGGAGCCATCGGACAGCGATTCTGGGGGTTATGCTGCTCTCAATTGCGAGCGAGGCACGGCCACTGAAGTCTGTGATGGCTATGGCGTTGGTTTCCGCTCCGAAGTCGACTTGTTTTGGCAGTTTCATGTCAATGTCGGAATCTGACGATTTGCACTATGTACAATTTCCGTGTTTAGACGTATAGGTGCCAATTTAGCAGCGTATGTGTGTGGTATGTGAAAATAGTTTTTTCCATGGTCAAGAAGTAGTACCAGACTTTCAAGAAAACATAACTTGCACATACAAAATGTGCCCTCGTTGTGAGTTATTGGCATCCTTCTCAATGTTATGGATTTCATATACAAAATGCACTTGCCAGTAAAGGGTTAAAGACCAAGAAGGACATATCCTACCAGACAAACTAACCTGCACTGAATACTTGGCATTTCTGAAGTAAATGCGGTAGTGATGAACACGGGATTGGTACCTGAACAACAACAACAACAACAACAACAACAACAACAACAACAACAACAACAACAACAACAACAACAACAACAACAACAACAACAACAACAACAACAACAACAACAACAACAACAACAACAACAACAACAACAACAACAACAACAACAACAACAACAACAAATCTCTTATTGGCCACAGGCCATCGTGAGAATAAAAGATTTCAAACAACAACAACATCTCTTATCGGCCACTGGCTATCGTGAGAATAAAGATTTGAACACAAGAACAAGAGCACATATTTTTTAATTAAGACAACGCCTAACACAAAATAGCATAGATGGCAAAGTTCAATTTCAGGACAGTACCAAAGAGACAGAGCACATGCACTACACAAGAAAATTCACCTGCCACTTCCACGCTTGGATTCACACATGCTAAAAGCACGATGTGCAATATGAATTCTGGGACAAGCTATTTAAAGCAAAACAATCGGCATTTTCTGCTGTAAAACTCGTGTAGTTGTATGCTAACACTTAGGAAGTAGATAAACTCCAAGCTCTTCAGCAGCAGCATTTTTGAAAGTCTCCACCAGGATACTTTCATGCTTCTCGTCAGGTAAAATACAGGCAAAAAGCATAAGAACACGAACAGTGAATTAAGTACAGCAGAGAGGTGACCGAATAGCACCAAGAAGAGTAGCCAAAAAGAACAACGGTAAAATGTGTAACCCCATACACACAAACAGATGGACAGAAAAGTGCAGCTGTGTGAAGAAACCTAACAAGCATGAAAAGTAGTGCGACAATAAAAGATAAATAGCAAGTTGTTGAAGACCTACCTGACAGCCTAAGCGTGAATATAATTTGCTGCTGTTTGTATAGATAAGGTTTCTTTGTGCGAATTTAAGCAGCTTCTAAAAAATGCAATAATTTAGCATCGCATGCATGTGACAAAATGGGAAAACAACTATCTGATAACACGGCACGACATCGAGGATGCTCAAACAAATGATAAGCAATGGACGACTGATGTCACGCATTTTACCGCTTTGTGTTCGGCTACTCTTTTTTGCGCTATTCTATCACCTCTCTCCTGTACGTAATTCATTGTCCTTGTTCCTTTGCTTTTTTGCCTATATTTCATCCGACAAGAAGGCATGAAAGTATACTGGTACTAGTGGACACTTTATATGGCGAAGAGCCTGAATTTTGCCCTCTTTCCTAACTGCTATAACGTGTTCGTCGCTGAGGAAACTTTTACGTATTAGTCCACATTACCAAAACTGCACATGTACTTCTATGGTTATGACTGCATGTGTCCTGTGCGGTCATTGCTCTCGAGTAATAGCAAACATAACAATGTGTGTTGTCAACAAATGAGCAGCAGTTCCAGAAGGTCCAACAGCATGAACGTGTGACTTTTTTCTCCAGGAGAGGTGTTGGTTCGCGTATGCTATAAAGGGTTGTTATAATAAGCACAGTTTGCAACACAAGCACAGATTCAAGTATAAGCCCGGGCTAGTGGGGCATTGGAAAAGATCAATGTGCTTCTTATTATAGAGACAAACGTATAACCTTCAAGGAACTGGTGTGTTCACAAATCCAACACAGTGAATACTCTTATACCCTTATACCCTCTTATACTCTTATACCCTTTGTCAAATAATAACTCGCAACTATTTTGGCTACCATCTTGATCAACAGTTTTCAGTACGCACAGGCTCCCCTGCATGTACCATCAACAAACTAGCGACAAGACCAGGAATGGCTTTGGAAGTCTACACTCAGGATGCATGTGGTACGTGCGAAATAAAATCAGCTCAGACGTATCCCTGTTTGGAAGCAACACGCTACACGGGACTTCCTGCCAGCGGATGATTCGCCAGCCATGCCTGAAGCCATATGTGCAAGAAACCGTTGGCCCATGACATGTGAATTCACACATTGACCACTGAAAAGCTGCTGTGCAGATGTGTCAGAACCACTACTTGCTCACAGGCACTTTCTTCAACAAGTACAAAATTATGATTGATATTTTCATTTCTGAGCAAATGTAACTTGTAATTATTGTTGAAAAGTTAGGAATTAACAGGTCGATCTTTCACTTACATCAGACACAACACCAGTGTGTTGCTAAAGCTGTCACTATCTCGAATCATGAACGCTCCATCTTTCCCATTGGACACAAGAAGGTCCTCAGCAGCCACCCTGGTGAGACCTGTATGATACCAAACCTGGTCAGCCATACTCGCGACGACGCCGTC